GTGAACACAATATTCCGAGTGTGGTCTAACCAAGGTTTTATAGACCTGCAGCATATCCTCACGGCTCTTAGACTCAATTGCCCTGCCAATGAAAGCCAACATACCATACGCCTTCTTTACATCCCTAACAACTTGGGTAGCAACTTTGAAGGACCTATGGACGTGAACCCCAAGATCCCTCTGTTCCTCCACACTGCCGAGAATCCTGCCATTAGCCCTGTATTCTGCATTCAAATTCGACCTTCCAAAATGAATCACTTCACACTTTTCTGGGTTGAATTCCATCTGCCACTTCTTTGCCCAGCTCTGCATCCTGACAATGTCCCGTTGCAAACCTACAACAGCCCTCCATGCTATCCACAACTCCACCAACCTTCGTGTCATTGGCAAACTTACTAACCCACCCTCCCACTTTCTCATCCAAGTCTTTTATAAAGATGACAAAGAGCGGAGGTCCCAGAACAGATCCCTGCGGAACACCACTGGTCACTGAGCTCTAGGCTGAATGCTTTTCATTTACTACCACCCTCTGTCTTCTATTGGACAGCCAGTTTTGTATCTAGACAGCCAAATTTCCCTGAATTCCATGCCTCCCTACTTTCTGAATGAACGTACCATGTGGAACCTTATCAAATGCCTTGTTAAAATCCATATACACCACATCCACTGTTCTGCCTTCATCAATGTGTTTTGTCACATCCTCAAAGAATTGACTAAGGCTTGTGAGGCATGACCTGCCCCTCACAAAGCCATGCTGACTATTTCTAATCAAACTGTGTTTTTCCAAATAATCATAAATACTATCTGTCAGAATCCTCTCCAATAATTTGCCTACCATAGAAGTAAGACTGACCGGTCTGTAATTCCCAGGATTATCCCTATTCCCTTTCTTGAACAAGAGAATGACATTTGCCACCCTCCAATCATCTGGTACTATCCAGTGGACAGTGAGGATGCAAAGATCATTGCCAAAGGGGCAGCAATCTCTTCCCTCGCTTCCCATAGTAACCTTGGGTATGTCTCGTCTAGCCCAGGGGACTTATCTATCCTCATGTTTTTCAAAATTTCTAGCATATCCTCCTTCCTAACATCAACCTGTTCGAGCATATCTGCCTGTTTCATGCTGTCCTCACAAACATCAAGCTCCCTCTCACTGGTGAATACTGAAGCAAAGTATCCATTAAGGACCTCCCCTACCTCCTCTGACTCCGTGCACAAGAACTTGTATGTCTGTGAGTGTTGTGTGTGTGTATGTCTGTGTGTCCGTCTCTGTATTGTGTGTGTTCTGTGCTGTGCGTGTTTGTGTGTGTTACGTGGTGTGTGTTCTGTGTTTTGCATGTGTGTGCATGTTTTGTGTGTGTGTTTGTGTGTGTGTGTGTGTTTGTGTGTGTGTGTGTGTGTGTGTGTATGGGTGTGGGTGTGTGTGTGGTAATGTATGTGTATGGGTGTGTGTGTGTGTGTGTGTGTGTGTGTGTGTGTGTGTGTTTGTGTGTGTGTGTGTGTATGGGTGTGGGTGTGTGTGTGTGTATGTGTGTGTGTGTGTGTGTGTGTGTATGTGTGTGTATGGGTGTGGGTGTGTGTGTGTGTATGAGTATGTGTGTCAATGGATGTGAATATGTGTATCTGTGTGTGTCTGTGTGTGTGAGAACCTACTGCCATCCCCACCCTAGCCTTGGAAGAAAAGGCCACCATCAATTCGTACCTTATATAAGACTACCATGCAGCGAGAAGCTACAGACCTAGAAAGTAGCACCAGAAGTAGGCTATTCTCCCTTTGAGCTGTATGATCATTGCCGAATATCCCCAAACCCTTTCTCCCCAGAACCTTTGATCCCTTTTGCCCTAAGAACTGTACCTAACTCTTTCCTGAATACATTCAATATTTTGGCCTCAATCACTTTCTGTGACGGAGAATTCCACAGGTTCACCACTCTCTGGATGAAGGAATTCTCCCCATCTCAGTCTCAAATGGCCTACCCCTTATCCTTAAACTGTGACCCTCGCTCTGGACTGACTCTTCGTCTTTCCTGTGTTCACCCAGTCTAGTCCTGTTAGTATTTATAGGTTTCTATGAGATCCCCCTTCCTTCTTCTAAACTCCTGTGAATATCGTCCTAACTGATCAAGTCTATCTTCGTATGTCAGTGCTGCCATCCCAGGAATCAGTCCCTCTGTAGACAAAACATTCTTTCTCAGATAAGGAGACCAAAGCAGCCTATACGATACTTCAGGTGTGTTCTCCCCAAGGTCTTCTTCCACTACAACATGATGTGGGTATCCTTGTCAAGTTTGGCATGGGGCTTCTGTGCCTCAGTGAGCCCTCAAGAGCTGTCAGTCAATCTGATTGGCCAGCAGCTCATCCAATACCAACGGGGCCAGACTCAGCAGTAGGTACCGCTGGGACAGTAAAGAAATCCTGGGAGGAAGTTCACAGTGATTCATCCCAGGCAAGGATTGGGCACCTGAAGGAGTCAGGTAAAGGGTTTTGGAGTTGGATTTTGGAGGTCAGAAGAGAAAGCACAAAATGGAAGGGCTGCAATATATTTTGGGATGGGACAGTGCCTCTGATACAAACAGGGTACCTTTCATTGGATGTAACACACATTTGTGACTGTGCTTCACCACTTGGTTTAAAAACCAGGCTTCTCCCTCCTGTCTGCCTTCAGCCGCCAGTGTATTGTAGCTGTGGTGATAGTTTGAGGGCCTTTGCCTACTTAATGGCATTGGTAGAGGTAAAGATGGATGGACTTGTGCATGCCGACATATCCCTTGACTGAACCAGGAGTAAGCAGGAAGTTGCTTGGTCATGCACTGATCCATTTTAAGTGACCCCTCCCCCACCGAAATGATGACCAGCCTGGACATTGACGGGTGGGATTTGTAGGTGGTGTATAATTCAGCCTCATCTGTCTCTTGTTTTTGAGAGCAGGGATTGCAATATCCATGTGCTGGTTCTGACTGAGGTTGGCACCATGAGTCTGGCCCCATTGATATTGGATGAGCTGCTGGCCAATCAGATTGATTGACAGCTCTTGAGGGCTCACTGAGGTACAGAAGCCCCATGTCATTCGGTTCGCCCACCTCATCTACATGCTTGTAGTGTCTGGACATGGACGTCCCATATTGCTTCTTCCTTCTTCAGAATGCTTGCTTGACTCAGTGCTCATCAGGCAATGTTGTTCAGAAACCACATGGTAACTAATACAGAGATAGTAGGAACTGCAGATGCTGGAGAATCCGAGACAACAAGGTGCAGGGCTGGATGAACACAGCAGGCCAAGCAACATCATGATGAAGGGTCTAGGCCCGAAATGTCAGCCTTTCTGCTCCTATGATGCTGCTTGGCCTGCTGTGTTCATCCAGCTCTACACCTTGTTGTCTCGGTAACTAATACCAGTCTGCCCTTCTTAAAGACAAGCTGTCCACCTGAAAGGAAAGCTAAGACTGAACAATCTTGGGGGTATTTCAATTATAAAAGTTTGAACACTAAAATAGCAAGAGGCCTCCAGTGTGACTGAAGTGGGCTTGTCGACTTTACCGATGGTATACAGTAGAGAGGTGATGACTTGGTTTTATGGGATTGGGGATAGGAGATTGTTAAGGCCCACCCTCAGAAGCTGATGGGAGCAGTTGGCCAGGGAGGCCAACTCCTGATATTTAGACCTAGGATGCAGCAGCAGTGCTTCAGAACGGCTAATGACCTCACATGGGTGGTCAAGGTAAATTAATGTATCTCCACATGTCATCTCCTCCACTCCACCAACCTCTTACTCTGTTCAGTACATGGCAACTCCATCACTTATCCATCAAGACTCTTTGGCACTCAGGGCTCACAGCTAACATCCAGATACAGCAGCTCAACCTCACACACTTACCAATGTTTCCAGTCTCACACTTATCTCCCACTGCATCCACATGCCTCCAGCTATCAGCTGGATCAGGAGCAACACTCAAACATAATGGAACTTAATCACTCCTTTTTTGTTCTCTCTATTGCAAAACAAGATGGCACATGATTGCAAGGAAGCAGATAAAGAGGAGACATGTATCTTCCAATCCTTACGGAGGTGATGTACCCCAGCATCGTGGGGCTGACAGAGAGAGAGTGTGGAAGTTGCAGAGCGACCAGTTTGTTGGGGCTGATGGGCATAGATTGAATAGAGCCATCCCTTAACCCAAACCTGTGTATAAGTTGGCACAAGAGCTCTCCAGGTCACCCACATATTGTTTTTCAGGCTAAGCATTTGCAGCACAAAAAATGTGAGTGAAACAATTGGCAATTGTCATGGAAAGACTGAAGGATAAGAATGGCCTTTTATCGCTTTGAGGAGCAACCCAATGTCCCAGGACATCATGGTGCATCACTGTAACTCAGTTCTTCCATAATATCCTAGAACACTAACATATTAACAATAGCATATGCCTCAATGAGTTTCTACCATGACATTCCTTTAATGCAAGTTACATTTAACTGTTCTCTTCGGAAGGTCAAGATAACACATATGGAAATGTTGGCTGCTATATTCAGGATTGCGCTTTTGTCCTATATTCAGGATCACTCTCACCTCCTGTAGACTGCTGGTGACCTAGTTCTGGAGTGTTCTTCTTTTTTCTGTGATCTGCTCCTATATTCCATCAGCTCTGTAAGGGGTTTTTCACTAGGAACATCCTCTTCCATCACAGCTCTGGGTGAAAGTTGGTGCTGACCCCATTTACATGATTGTTTATGTGAGAGGGAGAAACAGAGTCTTAACTTGAATACAATTTGCATTAACTGCTCTTTTCTAGTTGTACATTGTTGTAATATGGGCCCCGAGAGCAGAGCTGATCATTTCACCTCCTTTCCTCCCTAGGTGACAGCTATCGAAAGCATTCAGGTCTGTAAAGTGATAATTTCCTCATTTTGAGGACAACAATGCTGACACAAGTGGAGTACAGGGGAAATATGCCACGCAAGTGTCACACTGCGGGTATGGGTAATTTTCTCAATTTACATTGCAGCAAGGAACCTGACAAGATGACTGGCAGCCATAGCTCTTCACTTTGAGTGTGATACATGGACAGGTTGCATTTCGATTGCGCTCATGCTTCTGCACTCAATAAGGGTGAGTTCCCATGATATAGACTGAAATAAAGATTGCATTGATCTTTGACAATCATCAGGCACTTCAGAACCCGTTACAGCTGACAAAGTACTTCTGAAGCATAGTCATGGTTACAATGTAGGAAATACACAGTCAATTTGCACATAGCAAGCTCCCATGTGCAAAAATGAACCTCACTACTTTCGATTCTTATCAGCAAAATGAATATTTCCCCTCTATAATTAGGGTGAGTCCACATCTGTTTTTGTTTTCTCATTCATTCATGGGATGAGGGCATTGCTGACTTAGGCAGCATTTATTGCTCATCCCTAATTGTCCAGAGGGCAGTTAGGAGTCAATCACATTGCTGTGGGTCTGGAGTCACATGTAGGCCAGGCTAGGTAAGGATGGCAGTTTCCTTCCCTAAAGGACATTAGAGAACCAAATGGATTTTTCCAACAATCATTGATAGATGCATGGTCATCATTAGACCCTTAATTCTAGATTTCTTTTCTAATTTAATTCAAATTCCACCATCTGCAGTGGTGGGATTCAAACTCGGGTTTGAATCATCTGTGTCTCTGGACAAACAGTTCAGCAATAATACCACTAGTCCATGGCTTTCCCCATCTGGTTACAATGTTTATCTCTTTTTGAGTTGTAGGAATTCAGCAATCTCAGTACTTAGATGCTTATTTATAAAAGTTACATGTTGCATGTACCCGCTGAGATGGGAAAGTTGCTGTAAAACTAAGGGGTTTGAAGTGTGGGCAAAATATTGTGTAATAATTGAGTTAATAATTGATTGTTTAAACAAGTACTGTATTTCCCAGTAGTCCTTGGGTTTCATCCCCTGGAGGTTTGAGTACTAACATCTGAAATGTTTAGCTTGAAAATGTGTCAGAGGAGTTGTCACCAGATCATGCCTGCAAGCAGTTATGGATCCTTCTTTGCTTCCTAACACTCACACCAGCGACCCCTGTCGTCGCTGGTTGTACTGAATCCATACCAGCACTAATAGAAACAAAAGCAGCGCTCACACATACTCAGGGAAGGTCACTTAAACCAGCCAACAAGGCCGCCATCGTTATATAGCCGCATCACCTCTGCCCTTCGTCCCCTGAACTTTGCCCCTAATTTACAACAGGTCATTTTGTAACAACCATTGTTTGCACAGGTCAGCACAAATGTCTACGGTGGAAATGACATTAAAAGCAAGACAGCGCCATTATGAAACGTTTACAAGGCCAGCTACATCTGGTTTGCCTCAAGGAAAACACGGCAGAACAGTCACCAAAATACGCACCAGTGTTGATGAGAACAGCAGTGTAAACTAACAATTTGCAATTAAGCCATCAACATGATGCTTGCTATACATGAGGTTTTTGATGTGTATATTTCTCACTTGTTTTACAAAACGAGAGACATTATTGCAAAGACCGAGCAGCACAACTGTGTGTGACATTTCTGTGAACCCCTTTTCTTTTCCAGTCTACCATGAAAGTTCTTTGTTAAAGATGAGTGCCTTGGACATATTGAAAAGGACCAAAGGTTTATTTATGGATTTACAAGAGAAATCTCCAGTTTTAAAGCATTCCAGCTGATCTGCAGCTCACTCTCACAGTGTGCAAAGCAGAATCAGGAGCTTGTGGACCTGGGAGGGGCAAGTAAGGGGTTAGGATTCTGTCGGGGAGAGCTAGGCTCAGAGCTGCAGAGATCAGGGGAAAGAAATATCAATATACTGGAAAACAGAGCACCAAATTTGCTGCATGTTCAGAGAAGCCTGTGCTAAGCTTTGGGAGTACAATTCATGAAATAGCATCAATGGGACATTTGTTAAAAGGGAAAGGTACTTTTCAGGATATCAGTGAGGATATATAAGCAAGGTAACTCACACAGTGGCCCCATTTGCAAATTACGATCACACCTCACAAATAAGAAATCCATGAATTTCTCTGGCAACTGGTCAAGACTTCCCTTCTACTGCCTGCTCACTTCCTTTTGCTAGTTTTGAAGAAGAAACAATAGACGCGGAACATTAACACTGCTTTCTCTCCACAGACGCTGCCCGACCTGTTTTCTGTTTTCTGTGCTTCAGATCTCCAGCATTGTGGTTCATTGTGTATTATCAATAACCTTCTCAGGAGCCAAATCAGCCAGACAATCATAATCCTATACTCCTCCTGATGGGACTGAAATGTTACCTATTGTGTAGTAAACTGCTGCAGAGATAGTTGTTCAAGAGATAAAGCCCTAGACAATAGAATTGCAGGTTACTTCTATCCTGTATGAAGATGTGTTAATGACTTTCCACATAAATCAGGATGGGCCATAGACAGTGCAATATTCACGTTGACTGCCACAGCGTTGAACCCTTTTAGCCATAAAATTCTGAAATAGCATGTTTTAAAGCGTCAACGCCACTCCATATAATGTTTACGAACAATACCAAAACCCTGAACTCTGGGCTACAAAACAGAGTAGTCCGTATATTTCAGAAACAATTCCTTTGAAGACCTGCAAAGGGTTATTTTAGGGACAAAAACTGCCTCTAATTCCTCAACTACCAGTGAGCCAATCAATCATCCATTCAAAGGGATTTCAGATTGCTAACTCCAGTTTTGGACTTTTTGACTCCATCTTAAAAGCAAGGATAATGATAAATTGGAATCCCTCAGTTGCTTTGTTCTGACATTGTTGCTAGATGAATAACTTCTGATTCCTTTCTGATTCGATCTGTCTTATGACATGTTGGTGAACATGCCAGTGTGGTGAACCCTTCCCCTACCCTGCATTCGGAGAGTGTGTGAAATGAACCCTAACTTCTGGTTTAACATTACAACAGTGTTGTTGCTGCTATTACAAAGTCAGAGTCCACAAGCAGAGAGAATGGGAGAAATGTTGCTTTAAAAGGGGAGAAATTAAGTTACATTTTGCTTATGGACAGATGGCGAGAATAGGGAAAGAGTTTTGTTTTAACACTCGCAACCTGTCTGTGGCAAATTTGTTATGTCTGTGTTGGTTTCTTCAGATTGTGTGGAGGTGCCATGACACATGGTTAAAGAGGATGGTCTGGACTTCAGGAGAAAAGCTGTCCTTAACTTTGTAGAACGCAATATTGTTTGTACCATGATCTGTCCTAATATGAAGGCATCCAGCTGGCTAGCTGGGAATTGAACATTTACTGGCTTAACACTTTGCTCATGGCTACAAGCAAACTGAGCATTGAGATTTTACCAATACTTTGGTGATGGAGAAGGAGATAGAAAGCTGGTAAAATGGGGAAGAAGGATGGGAGTCTGATGTCTTCATTGCCATGTCTTATCACCAGCAACGGGAATCCCAGTTGTGCAGCCGCCAACTGGATGGCCAATTTTGCCAATTAAATGCTTCATTAAGAGCCACCTTCCCTCCAAAGGGCCACATGGGGATATCCAGACAGTTCTAGAAGGAGATGCCTTCTTTACTTCACCCCATGATTCATGAGCAAGACTGCCCTTGTGTCTTCACACCACAAGGTGCTCCTCCAACAATTGTTGTTGACATTGTACATAAAACAACCTACTTCTGCTTAAGGGTGGCTCAACATGGAAACATTTTGTCCTTTGCCCTGCAGTTGCCATGACGAATGGCAGCATTGCCAAATCTGCCAGCCTTCTGCTTGGAAGGCAGCACTTGAAGGGGGGTCACTGTCCTCAATTGGATGCTCACCCTGGTGATGATCTCCTAATTGGCCACTGCTGACAAAACCCGGGGTGCGTGCAAATCTGATCATGACCAGATACCTTGTTTCAGGTATACCTTAATAGATAAACAGTGGTTAGGATTAACTTAAGTTCCTGCTGCTCTTCATCCAATATTGCCAGCAGGTTTTTTTACAGCTACCTGAAAGTGAAAACAAGACCTTGGTTGAGCATCTCATCCAAAGATGATACGTTTAACAGTGCAGTGCTCCCTTAGTACTTCCTTGGCATTCAGCTTAGAATCTGATCTCAAGGCTTTGGCATAGAACTTGAAGCTATGACATCCTGACTCAGGGGTGAAAGCCAATTGAACCACAGCTAACAGATACTCACGTTTACCGAAAGGATACAATGCAAGATACACTATTGCACCATTATACATTCATTTGTATGTGTCTACTTACATAGCAATAGGTGCTGCCACAACATTTTACAAACATGACCAGATACTCAGAACAGGAATAAGGGGGAAAATCGGTTTAAATCTGCATTAAAGAGCTCTGGCTTGATCTACTTGATTTACAATTATAATTCACAAAACAGCAGGCTCCCCAGTCTGTTCATTCACTACCAGAAGTCTGACACAATAAGTTAGGATAGTAGGCATTGGAAATCCTACAGAAATTACTGGATTGTAATGGTAAATACTGTGAGTTACAATAAATAGCACAATCAAAGAAGCATTTGATCAGTGCATATTTCTGTTCTTACAGCATCTGGTTCTACCTCAAACATTTCATTTATTCAAAATAATTTATCCCAATTCTATGTTCAACCATGCTAAAGGTGAATAGGTGATAATTTGAGCAAATTCCGGTTTTTAAATGGGAGCACTTCATATGTCATGCAATATTCATGTTCTGAAGAAAAGCCATACCAGCCTCAAAGTAGTAACTCCGTTTCTCTCCACACAGATGTTGCTAGGCCTGCTGTTCTCCAGCATTGTCTGTATTTGTTACAGATTTCCAGCATCTGCAGTATTTTGCTTTTATGTGGTATTTGTGTGTCCAACACTAGAGAAACCATAATACCTAGCTCTTGGCATGCTTTGTGGGTTGAACAAACTTTGATACTTTAAGGAAATGGCCTACTGAATAATCAGTAAGAATTTCTTGATATCCTGAATAATTTTCCACAACATGCTATAAAATAATAAAATAATAATCTGATTTATTACAAATAACTCATCAGAATAAATTCTGCTTCATCTTAACAATTAATTGCTCGCCAAAAGTACCAGGTGAGTTCTATTCTAGCTAGCTCAATTTGTTCAAGGAG